GGATAGTGGCTCTTTATTTCCTCCAAGATAAAATGCAAACTCTTCTGTTAGGCATTTAAGTCTCTACACAATCTGGTTCCAGCCTACCCACCCCAGTTTATATATCAGATGCTATTCTCTTGTGTACATTCCATGTTCTAGCCAATATAGCATACTTGCTATTCCCTCTATAGAATATTCCTTCTCCAGTCTCTGTCCCTTTCTACTGGTTGTCCCCATTCCTAGAATGTGTTCCCTTCTCACCTCCAATTTATAAAATTTCTAACTTCAAGACTCAGTTCTTCCATTTGAAGCCTAGTAGCTTTTCTGAAATTACCTTGCATTTATCTGTGTACCTGTTGTCTACCCCTTCTCGTCCCCCAGAGGAGACTAGGTGCTGGATGGCAGATGATAGAGAGAGTACTAGGCCTGAACTCAAGAAGACCTGAATTCAAGTCCAGCCTCAGATATTTAATAGCTATGAAACCTTGGGCAAGTCACTTAACTTCTGTTTGCCTCCATTTTCTCAACTGTAAAATGGAGACAATAATACGACCTACCTCTCAGAGTTGTCATGAGACTCAAATGAGATCATTTTGTGCAGTACTTAGCACAATGCCTGGAAGATAGTAAGTGCTTAAGAAATGCTTATTCCCTTCCTTCTTTCTTTCCTTCCATCCACTACCTGCCCTTTAAACTGTAATTTCCTTGAGGGTAGAGATTGTTCCTTTTTTTTTTTTAATATCTTCAATGCTTAGTACATTGCCCCAGAAAAGAGGAATCATTGCTCATTGGATGAATGAATGAATAAATGAATTAATGAGCCAGAAAAGCCTGAGTTCAAATCCTACCTTTAACACTTGCTAGCTGCACAACTATAGACAAATCTCTTCAATTTCTATATGCCTCAGGCCAGAAATGTCTTTGGCCCTAATCAGATCAAAATGTAATTTGAAAATATTTGGCAAAATACATTAAAATACAATAGAACATAAATAATATTAATATGTGGTTTCCTAATTCAATATGCAGCCACTCATAGGGATCCTTATTATGGTTTAGTGACTCCATTTCTATATTATTTTGACACCACTGCCTCAGGCAAAACATTGGGACTTTTCTAACCCATTTTACAGATGGAAGAATATCTATCCATAAAGATATTTCCATAAAATCTATATCTATATCTATATTTATATAAGTCTTAGTTCCTTCATCTGTAAAATAGGGATAATAATACCTTGAAGGGTTGTTGTGAGGCTCAAAAAATAATTTCTATAAAGCACTTGTGAACTTGGAAAGCAAAATATAAATAGCAGTCATTATGACTGCAAACCTGTAGTCAACTATTTTGAAGGGCTAGCTCTAATTAAAGATGGAGCAAGAGCTCCCAGAAATTGGCAAATCAGAGCTATGTGTATCCCATCCAGCTCCAGTGGCAAGATGGAAGATGAGCAGACAGATAGTGTACTTTCCTTTGCCTCCCCTTGGAATAGTTCTGCAGGCAAGCATGACATTTGTATTGTGAAGGACTTGTTTGAGGCAGTGAAGTATTCAAATGTATAAAAAGTATGGCATTCTCTCCTTCACAAATGAAAGAATTGAAACTCTGACCACCATAACCAATACGCTTAGCAAGCTCAAATATAGCATGAACAAGGAGCTGAACTTGGAGAAAAGAAACCAACAAGGAGGTTTATGAATTCCTGAACAAGACCAATAAATCCTTCAGCACATGGTTGTCAGGTTCTCTGCCCGTGGGCCAAATGTAGTTGATGGATAGCTTTATCTGTCCCACATGGCAAATTCAGATTGCTCTGTGATTTGCTGCCCTTCTACCCCCAACAACTGAAACTAGTCTGTAGGCATTCTCTCAACTATTTTCTTCAAAAGAATATGATTTTAAGTTAGGGTTCCCCTCACTTCCATTTCTGCGTGTTCCCCCATTTCTGTGCCTTCCATGGTCAGCATGGCATTTGAAAAACTACGCTTCAGTTTTAAATGCATCAAAGAATAGTGGCTAATGTATTGGATCTGTAGAGAGGAAAACCTGGGTTTGCATATCCCTTCTGATCCAAGCGCTCTGTGCACCTGCTCCAGTCCTGTGGTGTGTGCCTCAGGAAACTCCATAGGATTTCTCTTCCCATTTTACAGGTGGGGAAACTGAAGGCTGGAGATATTAGGGTCAATTTTTTAGCTTCAAGACTCCAAAAGTGAGGTTACTCATTTAGGAAAAGAAGATTATTTATTGTTGCCATCAACCAAATAGTATTTATCAAACTCCAGGTGCTGTGTTCAGAGAGTATACAAAGTCACAAATGAAACAATTCCTGACTTCAAGGACCTTACATTTCAAGGGAAACACAATATGTTCGTATACAGACATATTCAAAAAAAGATACAATAAGATTGGGGAAATAGAAGGCGCTAGCATCTGGGGATTTTAGGAAAGGATTCATTTAAAAGGTCCTCAAACAGTGACAAGTCTTTATGAGCTTAAAATAAGTCTCAGCTTTGCTTTAGGCAAATAGCATTCCCCACGTGAGTTCAGAACAAAAGTAAGGGAAGTCACTAACTCTAAAAGATACTGAGTGCATAGCCAAACAATAAAGCAGTCTGAACATAGAAAGATAGCATCAGAAAACATGCTATAAAGAGAATATTGCTGCACACCAGTCATTTAGATACACATTTAGAAGTATTGCTTTTTTTGGCCTCCGCTTAAAAATCTTTAGGTTCTAAACTCAAAAGAATCAATCTAAGTGGACCTAAAACAGAAGTCTAAAACATCATAAACTGGCGCCTTCCTTCTGGCTTCACCAGAGTCCTAACTAAGGTAGTGAATAGCTATCAGTTACTTCCAAGCCTCCTTTTTCACCTTAGCTGCAGCCCCTAGGAGAGCTGGCTTTGATAAGGCTAAGGCTGAAACTGGAGTCTATTTGAAGAGACTAACCAGTGGGGGGCTAGGGATGTCTGCCACCACCCTCTCTTAAATCATGCTTTCAATCCACCTCTCCCAGCCTGGAAGGTGATGGCACACACTAAGCGAAGCCTGCTTAAAACCCAGCAATGTGAGCTTTCACTATAGCTTCAAGTCTGCCATGTGGACACTTCAAAGGCTTCAAAAAAGCAGCAGCCACAGTCCCCCAGTTTGAGCTGAAAGGGAAAGTGTGAGACTCAGCAAGGGCTTGAGAGCTGGTGTGGGGGGAGGGAGGTGTATGCAGTGGGGAGAAAGGTTAGGTTCCAAGAGCTGGGAGCGATTTTTCACTTTAAATCCATTGAAATCTAGTGAACAAAAAAAGAAGCAAAACTAAACTGGAGAAGGGGGAGGAGAGTGTGGAGAGGGAAAGTAAAATCTAGTTTAACATCTCCCATGTTCATGTCAGGGTTTTATAAATCCTCTCAGGCTTGGTGGGATTCGTAAACTCAAACAAGCGTCTGGACAGCTTGGTTTGCTGGTCCAAATCCTTTGCTGTCCTCCATTTAGCTGTGTACTTTAATAATAATTGGTTTATGAGAAGGGCCTAATCTAAATATTCTAAAATGCTATAATTTCTTCTAGTTAATATCCTCATTTTTAAATTTACGTACAAACCTAAACTGTTCCTTCAGTTTCCTGAATAACTCACTGGGGCTGGACTTCATTTGGATTTGATTTCCGGTATTATGCCTAACAGTTTCATAAGCTTTTAACTAGTGCCCATCAGCACTAATGGCTGGGTATTTCAGATGGGTGCTTAGGGGCTGAAAATCTTCTATTTGCAGGAATCCTGGCTCTCTAGTTTGGGCACTAAAATAATTAGGACCCTTTGCCCATATACATGGTATGAGTGAGTGCTTTTCTAATTGAAAACTATGGGCTTGTATGGTGTTGTTTTTAACTGATTTCTCCATGAGCAGCTCGGGTAAAATGGATATTGTTTAATTTTCATTTTGAATTAAAGACTCAGAGACCTGAATAATATAGAAGCTAATGATGAACTCAGCGGTGCTGAAGCTCCTCAGAGAGCCATAGAGATGTATTAAAACAAGAATTATTTTGTACACTGCACTGTACTTCAACAGGGGAACCTCTGCAGAATGTAAAATCACTTCCAGGATAATGAAATTACAAAAGAATTTTAATATCATGTTAAATCTCTTACTACAAATTATTAGGACAAAAAGAAACAGGGGAGAAAATGGTTTTCTGATGAATTTCTCCTGTGAATCCCCAAACTGGACATGCTTTCTGCTTCAGTTACTTCCAAAGCTTCATCACTGACAGAGAGTAGAAAAGCTTGATATTTGCAAAATGCAGATAACACTTAAGCAGCTACTGTGAGAATATTTAACTGGTGAAGACAGAGAGGCATGTCAAACTTTATATTTCAACAAGCGCTGCTAAAGAACCTACTATGTGTACACTGTAAAGTGCTGGGTTTACAGAGATCAAAAAATGCCCTACCCCCTGACCCTTACAGAATTTACAGTCTAGGCATGCACAAAAACTAAAATGCATTTGTTTTTATCAGGCCTGTGATTTCATTGATAGGGACCTCCCAGTAAGGAAACTTCCTATACTAATTCAGATCAGCATCTGAGATATAATTTATAATTTTAGATAATTATCTGGGATGCTGAGTTGAGCAGTATCACACAGACAGTATGAATCATAAGCAGAACTGGAACCCAAGATTTTCTTACAGTCAGGTTAGTTCTCCATAACGTAAATTAGAATATGAAAAGTGCATTAGAAGATTATCAAAGTGATGAGAGATTAAGGAAGGTAGGAATTAGTTCCAAGAGTCAGGAAGGGGATCAAGAAGGTGTGGAAACAAGGTATGATTATTTAAAGCAGGAAGGAAACTTAGAGGTCTTCTAGTCTAATGCAACCACTGCCGCACCACAAATATTTTACAGTTGAAGAAACTGATGCCTGGAGAGGAGAAATTACTGGCCAAGGGTCACATAGGTAATACATGATGGAAGAAAAAAAAACCCAAATTATTTGACAAAAAATTCTCATGCTTGTTTTACAGAACAACATTGGCTTCATGAAAAAGGTGGCAATTAAACTGGGTCTTGAAAGAAGAAAAGAATTTTGTCAGGTGGGGATGTGAAGGGCTTCTATTCCTGCAAGGGTGGCTAGGGTGTGGGGCAGGGTATGTGGGGAGTATGTCTGTGGTCTCCACAAAGACATAGAAACAGGAATGAGTGGGATGAGATAAAAGAATAGGTAGTAATCTAATTTACCTGAAATATAGAGTGGGTAAAAAGGAATAATATGAATGTATGGAGCTGTAAAGATAGTTTGGAATGAAATTTCAGAAAGCCTTGAAGGACAAGGAAAGGAGCTGGAATACCACGATAAGGAATCTAGATAAAGGTGATGATAATAATAAGCTAGAATTTATATAGCACCTAGTATGTCTCAGGTATGGTACTTAGCACTTTACAACTAGGTGCTATTATTATCTACATTTTACAATTGAGGAAACAGGCAAATGGAAGCCAAGTGATGTACCTATGGTCATACAGCCAGGAAGTGCCTGAGGCCTCATTGATCTCAGGTCTTCCTGACTCCAGCTCCAGTGCCCTATCTGCTGTGCCACCTAGTTGCCTCAGTTAATACCTAACTGATGATACTAGAAAGACACTTTTCAAACTTCTGTTACATTTAGATATACTCACAGACATCATCCTACTGTTATTTGTTTATATTTTTTAAAAGTGGTATCGATGACTTTTGTTTCTACATTTCAGGTAGTTCTAATCTATCCCATCACGATAAGAACCACATCCAGAATTGAGCCCTTCCTCATAAGGAAAAAAAACAGGTGAGCAAAAACAAACAGCGGCTGTGCAAGAGCTTGAGATGTAAGAAACATTTTGTCCCAGTTGTTCCCTGCTTCTTTGCTGATAAGGAGGGAGATATGTTTTGTCATCTGTTCTTTGGGGCTATTAATAGTTTTTCAGTAACTCAGAATGGTGCTTCCTTTTCATCATCTTTTCATTTGCTTTACTATTGTCATTATTTTTATTGTTCTTCTGGTTCTGTTTATTTCATTCTGTATCAGTTCATACAAATCTTACCATGCTTCTTTGAATTCTTCATAGTCAATACTTATTGCTACATAGTAATATTTCATTACATTTATATGCCACTTGTTTGTTTAGCCATTTATTAGCTGATGGGCACCTATTTTACTTCCCTTTCTTTGCTAACACACATGCACACACGTATGATACATACATACATACACACACATGAATTCTACTATGAATACTTAAACCTTTCTCTTATAGCTTATATATATATATTTTTTTCTTTTCAAAAGCATGCATATGCTTACTTTTTGATGGCATGATTACCTCATTGAAAAGGCCTATGAGGTCAGATGGTACCCTGCCCTTAAATTGGAATGAGGACTCCTACTTAAACTGCTGAAAAGACAGATGGCACTTTGGATCACCACACAACAAAAATCACACCATTACTCACTGCTATATCAACAATGAGAAACTTCATTCAACACACAACATAGTGCTAGAATAGATCTGGCTTTCCAGCCTAGATATGAGATTCCAAAGGAAAGAGTAGAGGGTAAAAAAAAAGAGTGGATCTACTCTGATCCCCATGGATATATAAAATGTTGACAGTACTCAGCTCTTGGTCAGAGGGAATGTACCCCAAATATTTGAAAAGGAGTAAGTCAGCCAGATGCTTGATCAGTATTTGAGAGTTGACTCTAAAGATTGGCTCTTGGGTGGCTGAGGGAATTTCTATTGCCCTAAATGTGGGAAAATCAGAATACTCGATACCAGATCTGGTTGGCAACTGGTAATTTTCCCATTCTCTCCTTTGATAACTGTTCCACTACCCCCAGCCCCAGAGTCAGACTGAGCCAGTTCTGTGATTCTTAGGTGCTCCAAGATAGAAGCAGTACTCATATTCAACTCCAAAAAGGTAATTTTTGACAGAGATAAATTCATAATATTCTACATAACACCTTATCAACCACATATAAAATAACCTCTCTTAGGAAGCATAAGTATTTTTCCAGAACATCAATCTGCAATATCAAAATACCCTCAGCTTCTCTAAAATAAAGCCTAACTTCAGAAAAATACAAGTCCAAGAGATGTACAGATACCACATAAGTTATTCAGTCACTGAAGCAGCCAAAATTTGAAGTCAAGAATGGAGTAGGGGTGGGGGTAGGAGGAAGCCAAAGAGAGACAGTTATGGTAGGGAATTAAGTTAATGTTGATAGACATAGATAGAATTAATATGTAGGCTTATTTTTCTATTCATTAGGCTAATGGAAGAATATTAGACAAAGCTTATGTTAAGCTTTGTCAACTACAAGATAAATTTGCGGTTGAGGTATGTGTCATGAACCAAAATCCTGGTTTAGACTGCCTCACCATCAGCCCAAAGTAAAAGCTACACTGGGGAAAATAAACAGGCATTTGGGTGTTAAGTAAAAAACAAAAAACAAAAACAAAAAAAAACACTAATGTACCTCCTTAAAGAAACACATTTGCTGTTTTTTCCATGTCAAAATATAAACACTAGAGTATTGTTTTGTTTTCTCGATTCAGTTTTAAGTTTAGACCATAATGTTCTTATTCAGTGTTCACTGGAGTGTCACAATCCTTCAGAAATTTGCATTGGAAGAGCCACCAAACCCTTTGTTGCTTCTGCTCTCCTAGACTCGGTTCCCTCACTTGTAACATGAGGGAATTGGAATAGATGACCTCTAAGGTCCTTTCCAGATCTACAATTCCATGATTTTAGTTTCACAGACTCTCCAGGACTCAATTAACCTAACAGAAATATCTATAGGCTTAAAGAACCCTATCTTCCCTTTGATCATTTTGAGAGATGATCACAAGTTCTTATTCTCAAAGGTGTGAATTGAGACAATAATGATCCAACTAGCACTTTTCATCTCCATAATACCTATGCAGACCAGAATTAAACTGATTTAATTTCCAATGAGGTTTTTTTCCTTTCAAATTACAACATTTTTAAATATCATATCTCAGAAGGCTCAGAAGTTGATTGTTTATTGACTTTTCTACCAGGTCTATATAATATAATGAATCTTTATATCTCTATTTTTAAATTGCTTATTGGATTTTCCAGATTAAACAAATCATATAACAGAAGTTACAGTTTTGGAAATTGGGAGATTAAGTCAAATGAGTATATAATTACAATATCATATCTATAAAAGTAAAAGAGAAAATACTAAAAGAATGAAAGTTTGCTTTTAAGAAGTTTTCGTACTTGACTTTTTTTTAACCCTGTATTGATGCCTTTTGTTTTTTACATCACAGTCCTTTCTGGATATATCTCCCCCTCCCTACTCCATCCCCAACATGTATACCCTGCATTGAACCATCCCTTCTCACAAAGAAAGAGAGTTAAGCAAAACCAAAAGACAAAGTGACCAACTCTGACAGTCATTCTGTAACCATAGTCCTTAACTTCTGTCAAGGAGAGGTGGGCATGTTTCATTGTCTGTTTACCAGGGCCAAGATTGGTCTGTAGAGCTGCCTTTCAAGGCTTTTATTTGCATTATGTAGTCCCTGTGTATAGTCCTCTCCTGTGTCTGCCAGCTTCTTTGTATATCAGTTCAGCCTAGTCTTCTCTAAATTTCTCATATTGATCATTCTTTTCTTGCTGTTGTTTATTTTGAGCCTGTTTTCAATAGTTTGGGGAACTTTCAGTGAGGAAACCTCTATCGATACAGACTAGCAGTTATTCTACAATTTAAAATCTTAGTTGAAGAGAGAGTTTGTCACTGTGTCCAGGGTCATGTAGGAAGACTTTCCTACAACAGAATCAGGACTCCCTCCCAGGACATTTTGACTCTAAGGTCAGTTCACTCTCTCCTATGCTATACTGCCCCTCCTTTTCTTATGGTCTATCTTTGCTGGGGCAAAATTGTTCAGGATTGGAATAAATCCTGAATAAAAGATACTAACCAGAACAACCATCTTTTCCTCTACTTTTTACTCATTTTTGAACAAATCTCCCCCAACTAATTCTTGCTGAATTTTTCATTTCAGCCCCATTTCCCCTCTTTCCATTTCCAATATATATTAAATGATTGCATATTTCCTAAATAATACCTGAAATGAATTTTAATTGTGGAACTCACCTAGCTGGTAGTGGACAGTATTCTACTTTAGGTATAAGGTTAGAATATTACACACCCATTTTTGTAGATTTTTCAGCTTTGTTTAGTTCAATTTAGTTCAAATTGCCACTTGTAGAACCTAAGGTAGAAAAATGTCTGGGTCACATTTGTCCTGGTCTTTTAAACTACTCTATTGTATCAGCACAATGGAACTAAAAGAGATGTGATTCCAGAAGCCATGTCTGCTTCTATTCATTTGTGCCAAGTTCCACATTATATTTATCTCCCAGCTATCACCCAAACACAGGCCTGATTCATACAAAACAGCCTTTGTACTACCACCAGGATTCCTTTCCTAGGGCTATAAAAAAATTAACTTTGAATTCCCTTTGCTTTCACCCCCAAAGCTCTTTGTTTCCCTTTCATCCTTTGTTTTATTTCTTCTATTGCTAAATAAATGGGGAAAAACCCTTGTAAAAATTCAATTTTAAAATCCTATGTCCCAGATCCCAAGGGAGTCTCTTGTGTTCCAAATTGGGTTAGTTAAACCAAGAAGCTATTTAGTAAATAAAAATGCTACATGAGATGGATGTTTCTGGACGGTGTGAAAGAACATCTTTCCTTTTGGTCTTGAATTAAAGAGATTAGAAAAGCAAAACTAATTTTTACTCATTCTTATCTGCTTAGAGTGAAAAATCCAGAATTTAAAGCCTTTTTTTTTCCTGGGGATCCTCAAATGACTTGTATTTCTCAGGATTTGAGGATGTAAGGCAGGGTAAAGTTAAGTGACAAATGATTGTGTCAGTCAGTAAAAAGATATCGGAGATTTACCAACTCTGGTCAAGATCCAGGATTAGGTCATGTAATATGATGGCTCAACTTCTTATGTAAAGCAGAACTAGTGCCAAATTCAAGGACATAAATCAAAGAAGACCCTGCCTTAGCAGATCGCTGTCTATTGGGATGACATCATTCCCACAGCCCTGTCTAAGATATCATTATCTCCCCAAGATAGCAGTTCAGGATCTGCAGAGAATGTTCACAGATTTCTAAATAATCCATTCATTTGGGATATTTGAATGTGCCACTGTGTAGAAATGGTACCCTTAGATATAATTGGGGTGAGGTGATAAGATATAAGTTGTAATGCCTTCAAAATATTTAATATTGCTCAAAAAGTTTTGTCCCATTTAAAAATATAATTTCAGATTACAAAGGACTTAAACTCTAGATAAACTAGTTTAAATATCAATCATGTGATCATAGAATTAGTATAACTCTTTATGTACAACTATTTACATATTGTCTCAATCATTAGAACAATGATTTCTCAGGGCAAGGACCATGTTTTTACCTTTCTTTGTTTCCTCAGCACTTAGCATAGTGCCTGGCACATAGTAAGCACCTGACAAATGCTTATTGACTGACTGACTGATTGACCGACTGACTGACTAATGGAAGTGACCTTGAGAAAACACATATAAGCCAACCCTCTCATATTACAACTGAGAAAATTGAGATTTATAGAGGTTAAATGACTTGACCAAAATAGCACAAATAGTGACAGAAATTGGATTTTTCTGCCACTGTGTGCTACATGAAACTATTACATAGAAAAGAGATTAAGGTAGGTCATTTGTCAATCTCCAGAAAGTCAAATCTAGCAAACAAGAGACCACAAATTTCCATTTCTGGTTGGAAGGTGGGAGTAACTACATTCCCCCCTCTCACTTAGTCCCCTGTCAATAGGGTAGAAAAGTCAAACTTCACAAGACTGGAGAAAGAGAAAGGAAGGAAAGTAGTATGAAGAACATGAACAATCCCAAAGGTTACATACTCTGTAATCCTTTTCTAAAGTCCTATTCTAATAAGGCATCATCAGCTGAAGGTGATCCTGAGCTGTCAAAAGCTATGTCATTGACATAGCTCTGACAAGCCTTATCAACCTAGAAAGGCTTTGTGATAGCCTAGTGATAGATTATGCATCTACTATAGGTAGAGCAGCCTAGTTAAGCTAAGAGAGAGTCATAATCAAAAGACAGACCACCAACCGATTAACTTGTTTGACCACAGCATGAAACCATCTACTATCAGTAAGCTGGTTTTCATGGAGAGGTCATAAACTTCTCCTTCCCTTCCTTTCTCCTTTGACAGGAAGAGAACATTTCCAAGTGTCAAGAGGATGTCAGACATCTACCCATCAGGATCTTAATCAGCATCTCCAGATCAGCTGGAAGTAGTGTCTGCCTTTTCAGGGGCCAAGAACAGTTTGAATTTATGGCTTTACATGGAGCCCAGCAAAGAGACTATGTCACACCTAAGGAGAACTTCATGAGCAATCCAAGAATGGGATAAAAGTACTTCCATCTACTTCCAGGAGTTGAGTACATCTTTGCCTCATGTACTCTCTCAGGTGGAGCCAACATTCCCCTAGGATCTAAATGTACTTGTGACAGAGTTTGGGGGGGGGGATGCTTTGTACCAACTGTGCTCATTGTACCACCTTAACAAATATTCCTTTCTAAAAAGCTTGCTGACTAAAATGATAAATGTGGGAAAAGCATACTACTGGGGTCTTGAACTAATGGCATTAGAAAATTATTCCTGACCCCCTCAGGGATACCTCTAGAATTCTGAGGGGAGATTTGGCCAGTCTAGCTCTGGGAGCACATATGATGATCTGTAAAAAAAGGGAGTTGGGATAAGAATGTTTCAGAGCTAATAGCTAAAATACAATAATTATTATTTGTCTCATCTAATTTATAATAAAATTATCCAGGTGAGAAGTAACAATGGCCTGAACTATAGTGATGACAGTGTAAAAGGAGAGAAGGGAATACATATAGGAGATATTGTGGAGATAGAAATGACAGGATGTATCTGGTAGGACAAAGGATCATAGGATCATAGATCCTGTGTTAGAAGGGTCCTCCAAGGCCATCTAGTCCAATGGCCCTGGATAAAACGCTAAACTTACTACACAGAGACACATCTCCTTAAGGAGCTTGTGTGCTATTTTATTAAAATCACCTATATAATTTAACATGTCATTGTCAAAAGACATTGGTCCTTCATATAGATTTTATTTATCCTAACAATCCGCAGCAAAAATTCTGGGTAATTCTATTTCTACAGAGCTCCTACCTGCAAAATGCAGGACTATTGAATAAGAATAAAAATATAAGTACAATAATTTTTAGTCAGAGCCATAACTAGGGTAGAGACACCAGGGCCTTTCCACAAGGTGTCTACATTTAGAATGTTCACTTTCTCCTCAGTGGTTTTATCTCCCATGAGCTATCTACCAAATACTCTACCATCACAGAATTTCACAGTTCTCTAGTTGGCTTGAATTGTGTAATAAAACCTTAGTTCTTCATCTTGCATCTGCCCAAACAGGATCCCATCACCATAATGCTTCCCTCCCAGGACTCCTTCCACCTCCAAGCTTGGCAGGGGAACTGGTAGTATTTTCTGGTTGACGGACTGCACATTTTCCAGATTAAGGGCACCTAAAGTTAGTCTGTCCTTTACCTCATCACTGCAATCCCTCTTTATTTCCTATCTCTTCCCTTCATTTGATATTCTCTTTACCAGTGTCAGTCCTAAGAGGCTATACTCCACACATGCCCTTCACACATGTACCTCACACTGGGTAAAAGGTTTCCTAGCTATGCCTCTATCTGTAGTTACCATTATACCTCTGGATGGGTTTTCTTTTCATTTGTTTGAGGAAGGGCTTGCCCCTACTTGTTATATAAAAAAAAAATTCTCAAATTCAAAAATTATAGTTGTGCTTTAACCATTTTCTCAATTAATTTTTCATGTTCCTGCCTTTGTGTCTCTCATTACACATAAAAATACAGTAATGCAACCAATTTCTTTATATATTTCCTATAAGAGATTATGGTGGAAGATAGAGAAAAACAGGAAAGTATAGGTATAGGTCATTATCTCTTCCCTATGTTTTTCTCAGATACTGGCATAGCATAGATTAGGTTTCTTAGGTCATCGTAACATATCTTTCCCTGACTCAGTCAGGGACAAATTTCACCTGCTGGTCTCTGACCTACTTCTAGTGGTAATCAACACTTATGGGCTCAAGGCCATCCATACTCAGCAGGTAGAACACAATAACGTGGTAAGTAAACTGCCTTCATTTGAGAATCAGAGTTCTTCACTTGCTTGTTGGTGCTGATATGCTGGATTCTGCCAGTCCTATAGTACCTATCTATTCTTAACTGACTTTCAAGGTGGCCTCTTGTCTAGACCTGCCATATCTGCCAGACTCCACAACTGGATTAACTGGATTCCCATATTAGCCTCTCCCAAACTACCTTGTCCCATTGCTCTTCATGCCCTAGCGTGACAGGTGTTTAATCAAAAGCTGAATGTGTTAAGGGGAAAGAAGAATGTGTTTCTTTGAACTAGATGGAAAATGCCTGAAGAGGAAAATGATCTCAGAATCTCATCACACCAGAGATAAAAAATACAGTATAAGCTCATTAACTTGAGCTGCTCATTAATTTGAAATCTGAGATAACTCAAGCTATAGTTTAAGTTTATCTTTTCCAGTATCTATGAAAAAAATTGTTAAGCAAATTAGCAGTGTTCAAAATCATGGAGGAAGCACAGAAGCTACTTAAGAAAGGGAACTATTCCCCAATAATTTAGTAAGGCCCACTCAAATTATACATCACTCTTATATAGTCATTATTGTAGGTGATCTAAGGACCTCTACAAAAATTAGCCTAGTGTATTTGGTGTAATTAGTGTATTTATAGCAACTGAATTTATTTTTTTAAGGTTGTTCAATTCTTTTTTTATGGAACCTTCCCTAATCTCCTCGGGTGAAAATGTTATCCCATATCAGATTTTCCATCACTTCCTACATATACTTTAGTGTATATATTGTATCTCAAACTCCACACCCCAGAAAAATATAAACTTTTTTTTAGGTTAAAACTTTGATACCTAGAAAAAATGCTTTACACATATTAGAGGCCTAATGAATTTTGGTTTAATTTATGACTTCTGACACTGTCATCATTAATTCTAATTACTGAGAATTTTTTTCTGTAAATTGACTACTTAGACCAAGCAGTCCAAGTGTTCCTTGATGTTCACATGCCTCAATCACTTTGTCCAAAGAAGCCACTCAAGGGCAAGTACAGAGGTTTACAAAGGCTGCAAGTGAGCAGAGATTCTTGGTGCTCATAGGCTTATAGATCTAGAGCTTAAAGGGACCACAAAACTCAAAACTAATCTATGTTCACTGCCTAGAAAGTTGAAGAAAGGGATAACCAAAATTCCTACACAGTAGGTCAGGAGCTCAGGTGAATGAGACTGTGCAGACAAGACAAGTTGCTAGAAAGAGCCTAAGACTGGTATCTGAGGTAGAAATTGGGTCAAAACAAGGTTTGAGAGGGACTGGTAAAAAGAGAAACCTAAGGTTACAGGCAATGGGAAGAAGAGGAGCTTTGAGTAAGACAGTAGTTATAACATGTAACTTTTAAGTCTGGCCTTTTACAGTCACTTTCTTGATCCAGAGTTGCCCAAGTTTTCTTCTATGAAAGAGCTCCCTCAATACTCTTAGTGTGGTGGAAGTGATAACCTAAACAGGACCCCTACCACCTCCTCCAGGTTATCCTGAGAGGTTTTAAGTGTCCCACTTGAGCCACCACCAGTGTATTGTTCTCTTTGTTAGGCACTAGTAATGAGCGCTCCAGTTCCATTTAAGAATTTAACATCTATTAGCTTTTACAAAGGGTTGAAAGTTATAACAAAGAAAGAAGTTTGAAGTTATAAGCAAACACTCCTTTCAACATCTCAGGGATATACTCTCCCTGCTCCTACCTCAGTCTGTAAGGAGAATGGGCTTACTCTTAGAACAGTTCCTATAAACATTGGTTTTACCCAGACCAGGTCTAGATGATTGCTAGATGAGTCCTCAAAGCCGCTATAATGGGCTATGTCCTGAAGGTTACTCCAAAGGTCATTCCTTGTTCCTTGGGATATGATGGAGAACTGAGTGAAAGAAAACCCATATGCTGGGAATTGGGATGCTACCCTTTCAAAAAAGAACAAATGCTAAGACAAGCAAAGAACTCGGGACCATATTCATAGGACCACATGGTATCTCATTGGTAGAAAAGGCCCAAGCCTTTTCCCCTTACAATATTTTCCCTCACCAGATGCCATCAGTGAAGGAATCCAAAAAATTCCTCAAAGAGAGCAAATAGCCAATGACCACATCTGAGGTGATTCAGGCCTTTGTGAAGATTCTCCCCACTCTCAGCTATAGTAAATTAAAAAAGGTTTTACATTCACCATATGATTAGCTGGCTACCACCAGTTATAGACTATCTACACATCCTACATAGTCTCTCTAAGGCACTCCCATTACATGTCATCATAACTTCTCTGGGAAGTAGGTTCCCCAGCATCTCCACATGGGAAAATGCCTTCTTAGACGCTCTGGGTATGCACCAGATCTTAAAAATACTTAAAAAGTATTGAAGCTGTCTTTGAGATTTCATTGGCCCAGGAGACAAGGGCATGGGTCATTGACATGGCTTCTTGCTTGCCTAGGTACAAAACAGACAGGACAAGCAAGGCTGAAGCTTCAAACCATAGAACAGCAGAATGAATGACACTAAGAACATTGTGCTTAATTGAATCACCAATTTTATCCTGGAGTGACTTCCCTTTCTTGCTCTGAATATCCTTCCCCTGCTTTGGATGGGTAAATAAGTGTTTCATTTCATTCCAGTTTTGGACCAAAACTATCAGGGGACTGCCTTGAATGAAGCCCAGCCCCTTACGTCTGGTATAGATATGCTACAAATGTTTGGTTATATTTCTGGCCTTCTTTCAACAAAATTGACACCACTCAGGGGAAAGAGTCACAGCACCATGTAAATGAATATGTAAGTCTGTAAAAAACTGCAACTCGCTGGACCACAATGGATGAATATTGCATGCAAATTATTCACTAAAGTTTTTTCATCACTAGCTACATTGCTGAGTAATTTCAATCTGCAACAATAACAAATAGTTCCACCCCTTATCATTAAACCCATCTACCCTTTTCCATTTGATTTTCTATTTCTTACAATTGCTTACATCATACCCTGAGGGTTAGGGAGCTGGTGTTCCTGTGGTTTGATTTTAAATATTTTAATTAAGTGGTGCCTTCTGCCCCACAGCTTCTGAAAGCAGTTTTTGAAAAGTCAAAAAGAAACAAAAGAGACAAACACTAGAGTACCTTTGATAAATCAGAACTGCTACCTACACTGTTTTTTTATTACAGTGCCCAAGCACTTTTGATTTCCAGTAAGTAGAGAAAACTAGAGGTGATTGTAAGTAACATGGCATCGAAGTCAAATGCCTCCCCAGAAATGTAAAACTCAGAACTCAGACTTAGCGCTCTAGAGAACATTCATTCATTCATTTATTCACCAATCAAGCAAGCATTGATTAAGTGCCTATTATGTTCCAGACACTATTGTTAGTGCACACCTATTGCTAGGTATTGGGTTATAATTTTAAAAAATAAAAATAAAACCCTGTCCTCAAGGAACTTAAATTCTACTGGTCATTATACATAATCCTACAGACCCTTATTGTATAAGAGTGAAAGTTTCTTATAAAGAAATTGCTTTGAAAACCATAAAACACTTATAGAAATGTAGGTTACTGTTTTACAACAGAGGTCCCCCAATTTTTCCTGACAAACTAGATCCTCAGATCTATTTATCCAGCCCTATAATGTCTTTCCTGACCTTCATTCACCAACAATAGACATTTGTATGTACCATAGACATCTCAAATTCAATTATCTTTTCCCTAAAACCATTCTGATTTCTGAACTTCCTTTTTATTGGTGAGGGCAAAGCCATCCTCCCTGAAACCCAGGCTGGCTCACAATTTCTTACTCTTCCCTGAAATATTCAATCTGTTGCCAAGTCTTGTCATTGCTGCCTCCACAACATCTCAGATAAATGCCCCCTTCTGTCCATTTAGACAGCTGACACCCTGGAGAAGGTTTTCATCACCTCACAGCTGGACTATGTATTGCAATAACCCACTTGTTGGCTTGCCTGCCTCAAGTTTCTCCCCATTTTAGTCTGTCCTCCACCCAGATGTCAAATTAATATTCCTAAAGCATAGATCTGAACATGACAACCCTTCTCCCTCCAACACACACACATACACACATACATACACTCAGTCTCCAATGAGTTCTTATTCCTTTAGGATCAAATATAAAATACTCTGTTTAGCTTTTGAAGCCCTTCAAAACCATGTCCTTTTTTATTTTTCCAGTCTTCTTAGACTTTACTCTGCTCTGCATATTCTACAATCCACATTGACCTGCTTGCTGTTTCTTGAATAAAACACTTCATTTCTTTGTGGTCTTTGCAGTAGCTGTTCCCAGCCCCTCCTCACCACCCCCTTGCCTGGGATGCTCTTCCTCCTCACTTCCACCTTCTGGCTGCTCTGGTTTCCTTCAAGAATCATCTCAAATCTCACCTTCTACAATAAGCCTCTCTTAGCTCCCCCCATTGCTAGTGTGTTCCTTCTATTAACTCCAATTTACACTGTATATATCTTGCGTATACACCATTGTCTGTGTGTTGTGTCTCCCATTAGAATGGAAGCTCTTGAGGGCAGGCCTTTTGTCTTGTTTCATGTCTGTAAAGTTTAGCACAGTGCCGGGCATATAGTAAGAGCTTACTAAATACTTGTTAGCTGGCTGGGTTGTGATACGAATCACATAACAAGGGAGGCAATTTGGAATTAAATGAAGGTATTATAAGAAGAC